GGGGGGGGGGGGGGGGGGGGGGGGACCGGGACGAGAGGTGAAGGCGCGGAAGCCCTTCCCACCGTGCGAGAGCTTTCGACGATCCGACCCCCGACCCTCGCTCCTCGCTCCTCTCGTCGGTCGGAAGAGATACTTCTGTGACGAAACGATTGCGAAAGTCATCGATCGTGGGACTAAATATCGAAACGGATCTGGAGCGGACGGAACGGATGGCGTCCGGGCGGCCTCGTCTCCGTCGATCCGTGTTCGGGATTGCGGTTTCGCGACGAAGACGGCAGATGCCGGAGGCTCTCGTCGTCGGATCGAGAGATCGCTTGCCGTCCGATTTCGCGGGTGGCGTCGATGCCAGGTGCTCTTCGCGATGGCTCTGCGGACGGGGCAACGGGCCAAGGCTCCTGTTTTCCGCTCTTTTCATTGTATGCAAGAGTTATTCTTATTCTAATGGTGGTATCTTCCTCGGGGAACCTTGGCGTGTATACATTCAGCGGCGGTTCGAGCAGGTGTAAAATAGAGGGGGGGCAAAGTCCAGCTGCTTCCTATTCCACAGGCCTTTGCTATCTTTCCTCCTCCTTTTCAGTTCTTCCATCGGAATCACAGATGTAAATCGAGTTCAACCGCTCTCCCACAATAGAAACAGACACGGACTGCTCTTTCTTTAGCAACCAGATGTGCCAGGGCGAGATGGAACATATGGAAGTGGCGGAGCCCTAGCTTTCTGGTTCCGCCTCCCGTGTTTACTCGACGCGAACGTGGACGACACGATGGAGTCTGTTTTTTGCGGCCATCCCGTAGAGATTGCATGAAATATGGGAATCGTATGAGGTGCGAGTCATCTATCACACTCGAGGGAGATAACAAAAATAAATCACCAGACGAGGCGGAAACGAGCACTCCAGGCGACAGGAAATATCTTTTTTACTTCCTTCCCTATCTCTCGGTATCGCCTTGCCTGCTCGGGATGCGTCGTTTCAACTTTGCAAAATAAAAAATAAAACAAAGGGTGAGAAATCGGAACCGGAACGGAGATTCCCCTCTTCTCCCCTGGGACACGGGATCGATCCGACGGACTTTCACTCCGACTCGCCGGTGTGACTCGACATCAGACTCATTCGGTGCTGATGAAAGCTCGATTGTGGAATGCGTAAGCCGAACGTGTCCGCGTTTTGCAGAGGGAATGGTGGAGGTGTCGAAGGAGGGGAAATTCCTTCACAATCTGTCTCCTGGCAAGGTCTTCGGGGAACTGGCCATCCTCTACAACTGCAAACGGACTGCCACCATCAAAGGTAAGGACCGAGGAGTCTCTGTTCGGAATCGTGACGATCTCGGACCCTAGATCCCCCCGTTTGAGACCGACTTCCCTTCGACGACCTAGCGGCGACGGACTGTCGATTGTGGGCGATCGAACGACAATGTTTCCAGACGATCATGATGAGGACCGGCCTCATTCGACAGGCCGAATATACCGCTTTCCTCAAAAGGTGGGCTGAAACTTCCTTGCCGTTCTAGATGTCTCCTTTGACGGAAATCCTAGAAAATTTTATCTTTCCACTAGTGTGCCGACGTTCAAGAGCCTCCCCGAACATACCATAATAAAGATTGCCGACTCCCTCGACGAGGTGCGTCCATCCATCCTTTTTTTAAATTTTATTTTGAAAAATAAAGAAAAGATTGGGGAAAAAAGGTGAGACGTTCGGAAAATGCTGATTAATTCTCGATTCCCTTGGCAGATCCATTATCGGCAAGGGGATTACATCATCCGACAAGGTGGGCGAGGTGACACCTTTTTCATCATCTGCAAAGGACAGGTGAGAACCAGTCATCAAGGATTGATGGATCGATCATGTGTGAGATTCGATCAACCCCGATGGTGGTTGTCTGAAAGGTGCGGGTGACCATGAAGCAAGCGGGAAGCAACGAGGAGAAATTCATCAGAAACCTCTTCAAGGGAGACTTCTTCGGAGAGAAGGCCCTACAAGGGTAAGAAAAGAGGTCATTCGTCTCCTTAGGAGTTCGTGAACTCGTTTGAACTCGATTTCGTCCCGCAGGGAGGACGTGAGGACGGCGAACATCATCGCCGACGGGAAGGAGGGAGTGAGATGTCTAGTCATCGATCGGGATACGTTCAATCAACTCATCTCCAGCCTCCCAGATATCAAGACTCGATACGTGGACGAGAATGCCAACCGTCGCAAGTAGGTCCCTGTCCCTCGTGAGAACTCTGAGACCCTCTTTTATTTTGTCACTCTTGGTCGCGGTCGTCGTACAGGGTGCTCCCAGAGTTCGCCAACCTGAAGCTGGGTGACCTGAGGGTACTCACCACTCTGGGTGTCGGCGGATTCGGCAGGGTTGAACTCGTTCAGATCGCCAACGACCCCTCCAGGTCCTTCGCCCTCAAGCAGATGAAGAAAGCACAGGTCCTGGTCCCTTCTCGTTCTACGAGGACCGCGTCCGATTATCGTAGCTGCCGAGGCGAACGATCCGGCATTAAGTTTTCTTTCATCGTGAAACGTAGATCGTGGAGACACGGCAGCAACAACATATCATGTCCGAGAAGGAAATCATGGAGGAATGCGACTGTGATTTCATCGTGAAGCTCTATCGAACGTTCAAGGATAACAAGTATTTGTACATGCTGATGGGATGCTGCCTGGGAGGCGAGCTGTGGACCATTCTCAGGTGAAACGAGTCTCTATTTTCGAAGGCCGGCCTCAATATTTTTTTCCTAACCCCATCTTGGTCACAGAGACCGAGGGAACTTTGATGACGCGACGACGCGCTTCTACACGGGTTGCGTCATTCTAGCGTTTGAATATCTTCACGGCCGAGGGATCATCTATCGAGACCTGAAGCCGGAGAACCTCCTTCTCGACACCAAGGGATATGTGAAGCTCGTCGACTTCGGCTTCGCAAAGAAGCTTCAGGTGGGAGAAGCACGACTTGTAACCCAACATAAAAGGCAATCCACGGAAGATGTGATGCTATCCTGTTCTGGCACCGATAGATGGGGAGAAAAACGTGGACGTTCTGCGGGACACCGGAGTACGTGGCACCTGAGGTCATCCTCAACAAGGGGCACGACATCAGTGCTGACTATTGGTCACTAGGGGTCCTCATGTTCGAGCTTCTCACTGGTAAGAGCATCACAGAAAGGTGATGGAAGGGATGAGAGAGGTCAGTCATGTCATTTTTTCACATTTTAAAAGGAACACCACCTTTCACGGGCCCAGACCCGATGCGGACGTACAACATCATCCTCAAGGGGATCGATGCCATTGAATTTCCACGAAACATCACTCGCAATGCTACTGCCCTGATCAAGAAGCTCTGCAGGTGATTTTCTCCAAGATTTAAATTCACTCACGAAATGAAACTTTTAAGTCGGAAATGATCAACACTGTACTGCTCATGCCCGATTGTCATCTTTTACAGAGAGAATCCCAGCGAGAGATTGGGTTATCAAAAGGGTGGCATCAAAGACATTCAGAAGCACAAGTAAGAACCATCAATGAGGGGATTCTCATTCGATATTTCATAATCCGTTCTTAATTTTGGAGGACAAAGCCATCTTAAGTTGCACTTTAAAATAATTACACGAACTAAATGGCATTCTCTTTTCTCAGGTGGTTTGATGGCTTCAATTGGGAAGGCGTCTTGAATCGTTCATTGAATCCTCCCATCGTTCCACAAGTCCGTTCTGTGACGGACACCACCAATTTTGATCCTTATCCACCCGACACAGACGGCCCACCGCCAGACGATCTCTCTGGATGGGATATCGATTTCTGAGCCAAAATGATGGTTGTGCCCTATTAATGGAATATCGTGCAATCAAGACATCCTTTGACCTCAATTGAGTGCCTTCATTTCATATGCCAGCCTCCTAGAAAAAACTGTATTTGGAACCAGTGATTCTTGAAGGGACTCCTGATCCGATTTTCAAGAGATTGATTCAAAAAGCCCTGATTGCTGAGATAATCTGTTCAATTGATATATATGTCAATGATGTGGAATCATTATTTCAATAAATCCTATTTTAATTATGTTTGTGTTTATTCTCTCAGAAATTAAAGTCATAAATCCACTAGAAAGGAAGTTTAATTGAACTCTATCATCAATTCCCAAGTAGCATGCAATCTACAGTAATGATTCTCACCAGGATGAATTCAGTATTGACCCAGACTTAGATGCATGCAAATTGTGAATGCATTGTATTCTATATTGAGTAATCAAATATGCACTGAAGGCATAGTACTTCAAATTGTAGAAAGAACCAAGGCATTTTCACAACTTCTTTCACAACTGAGATGTATTTTTACTGCTGAAGCAGAAGTTGCATCAGCTTCATGTTGTTTATTCCATGACTGCCATCTATGCAAAAAGAATACATGGAGTATACAATTTCTCTCTGGCAATTCTTACTGCAATTAAGCAATGAAACGGAGATATGGAGGATACAGGTACATCAAAATGTCATTTTCATTAGACTGCTACACATAATTAGTTTTCTAATCATTATCTAGGGTCCTGCATCTAAGTCAAGGTCATAATGAATAGCTAAAGGCACCAATAGTTATCTAAAATACTGACTTCAACAACACCACATGAAAAAATATCACAAGAGTCAAAGTTTCCTACAAGTACTAGGATAGAGCAGACAGCAACTTCATGCCTTCAGCTAAGACACAACAAACATATCTAATCTCTAAGCTTGTTGTAATGACAGGCAGAACAAACACACAAAATGAAGCTAAAAAAATTAATGCTTCAATCATAAATCATTTAGTGCATTTTTCCTTGAAACCAGGTACTAATACTTGAGCTAATTATCGGGATTTATGGTCATACTAAAAATGTCATAACTCATGAGATTTGTATTTCAGGTTTAAACAAAAATCAACAGCTTTAGCAATGGACAGGATGTTTTCCCCCTGGAATGCTCCTCATCTCCATGATGCCCCACCTGAAAATGTATGAGAGTCTATGAATTAACCTGAAGGAGAATTTTCAGACCACAGCAATCATCAGCTTTCACTGATCCTTAAGTACATTTATCCAGCAAGGGATAAAAACTCACTTTATGACAGGGGTCCACGCTCAGCCAAGTATGCCTTGAGACGTGGCAGACTCCAAACTTTTTCTTGAAGCTTCTGGATTTTTGGATGACCAGCAAGAGCATTTGGTTCCACAGCCTTCAAGACATCAAGAAAGTGAGCCAAGTAGACATCAGCCCAGGTTAGCTACATACATGGGAAAAGAGCAGAAAGGCAAATGTTAAAAAGAATCCCTCTTGATACTCATCATACCAAAGAGACTAGATCAGAGGTGGAGCTTTCAAGACCTCAGAGCTAACAAGGTAACCACTCTTAGATGGGTTGGCTTCCACAAACTTAGTCATCCTTGTGAGGAATACTGGAACACTCTCAAACAGTTTAGCCTTGTTTGATTCTTTGTCTGCATCAGGACCAAACCTATAAGAGCCAAAAATTGAAACATGAAAAGTTGCAATAAACCTGGTATGGCAAAAAGAATAGAATAGAGCTGTGCTACAAATGAAAATTCCATGCTTCTTACTTCCATTTGATGTACAGATCTCGGAGGTCTCCCATGGAATCAACAAGCATGTCACACTGAGCAGACTCCCAGGAATCTTTCCCATTCATGCCATGCTCCCTAGCAATGAATCGTGCAATGGCATTGGACTGTGCCAAAATTTTTGTGCCTTCGTCTGTATATACATAGAGCACAGGGATTTGACCAAAAGGCATTTCTGGCTTCAAGCTTGGCCATTGTTCTCCTTTGATCCTATTATCTTCAAATTCAACACCAGCTTGATGCAGCAGAAGACGAATGACTTCCCCTCGCCCAGCAACATCAAAGTAAACCAGTTTGTACTTCATTGTCATGGTTCAGATCTTGATAAAAACAAGATTGATATGAGCTTCAAGAGGCAAAAAGAAGAGTTCACAGAGGGAATTCTGAAACAGGAAAATATTAATCAAAGATGCATTATAGCACTATACGATAGGACAAGCCTGGGTCTGAGGCTACATTTATGCTGCTGATGACCTAATATCAATTAGGACAAAACCTTAGAGAACCTCAAGCAAAATCCAAAGTGTGATAGAAGACATCTAGGCTTAGGTCAAGGTTTAATTTCCAAGCATAGGCCATATATATAATGTGAAGTCACAAAGGTGATATTGATGTGGTGATCCAGGTATACTGGATGCAATAGTAATGATTTATATTTTTTGTGACTGCAGTAGAACATGTGGTGCAACTAGTAGAGTGCTGCATTTGCTGAAGCAGCATACAGTTTTTTCTGTCTGTTAACAGGCTGATGTGTACTAAACTCAATATTCAACATGCTGTCAAGTAAAAAGAAAGTTTGCCCTGTACTGGATTGAGGATAAGTCCAGTGGCATGCTGAAGATTTCCTCCACATGGGGTGTCATTTCCAATGGTCACCCATCCCTCTTTCCCTTCTCAATATAGAGTGAATAAAAAAAAAACTACCCAAATTTTGGTGGAAGCTTGTAAAATTCTGGCCTTATAATTTTGATGTTTCGAGTATCATCTGAAAGTCCTGTTGAATTCTTATTGAATGCTACAAACCATTTCAAAACATTTACAAGGAATCAAAAGTTGTACATAAACACATGTAGGTTGAAAGATTCTAGTGCTGAGACTCTGTGTCTTGACACAGTCTTGGGCAAAGGCAGGGAGACAGAGAAACAATTCCAGCCTCTCAAGCTCTCACAGCAGCAGCTGCTAGAAGGATGAAAATGGGGGTGCCATCAAAATTTGTTGGAGTAATAAGTGTCAGTCTACCCTTACCTGTTTAATTTAAGATATTACTCTGACTTTGTGACATTTTTCTTGTGTTACAGATAATGAGAATTAGGCAAATACATTGCACTACATTTCAGCACTCTAATTTTTTTTGTCTGCTGGTGCTTGACTATGCTTTTTTTTTCATTCCCTGATGAGGAACTCATCTACTGTATCTCATATTCAACAGCAACTTCAAAAATTGGAATGGTTTCTGTTAAATCTAGTATGCTGTGCAGCAGTTTCCTTATTGCATCGCAATCCAACAGCTGGACATGTTGCATGGAATTTTTCATTACATGTAGTTGCAGCATCCAGTATGTTGTACAGCTGGAGTGCGAACAAAGCCCGTGGCTCACATTGAAGGCCTAACTTAGCAGAAATATCGCTGAAGCACTACATGGACTTACAACATACGAGCATACTTAACATTAGGTTAGCAAGACTCTACAGCCCACGAACAACCATCATTAAGTTACCTTGGCCCATAGAGCCAATGCTAATGCTTTGTATTGGTCTAGGTGACTTAGTCTTAAGCCGGGGTCTAACGTTGAAGCAGCGTTGAAGCGGCAAGAGAAAACTCTTTTAACGTTAGATCTACCGCAATGTTAACGTAAAAGATTTATGATACTCTGACGCCTGATAGCGAGGATTCCAGCGTCTCTGCTGCGAGAAAGATCGAGTTATCGATTTGCAATCGAGAGTGAGCGGGAGAGAGTGAGTATAACATAGGTGTCTTCTCTCGCGTTCCCCGGACTTCCACATTACTTCAGAGGCGGATGCACATGGCTCATTCACGGATGCCAAATGAGTTATTCTCTTCTCATTCGCTCAACCTGTCAGGGCTGCACTAAGATAAACAATTTGCAGAATCCTCCATTTGAAACTCAACCTAAACTCTATGGATGAAACGCAGTGAGGTATTATATTGTTACGGAGGGGGAAAGTGGAGACGGACGACGGAAGGCATGAGAGGTCGAAAGAAAGCCAGGGTACGGCCGGGACTTGAACCTGGGCCTCCTGATTGCTACCACTACACCACCGAACCCGGGACATTCAGTCGTGCCCCTCGATGCCATCCTCATCCGTCACAATATATTAGTTCATGAGCCAAGGGGAGCAGGGTAGCATAAAGGGAGCTGTCAAGGCCAGGGAGCGGGTGATGTGCGGAGGTTCTCAGGGGCGAAAAATATCCCTGAGGGGGTCCTAAGCACATTCAAGGACTGCCAGGGAGCAGTGGCGTAGCCAGGATTTTGCCTGTGGGGGGGATGCATTTTGACCAGAGTTGGGGGAGGGCTTGAACCAAACTTGGAGGGATTGAAGCCCTCCCCATCCCTCCCTCGCTACACCATTGCCAGGGGCAGCCGTCCCTTGCCCCCTTCCCTGTAAAATACACCACTGATTAAACCCCCTTTTTTAATTTAATCAGCGCCATCTCTCCATAGCACGTTCGTACGGGCAGTATGATCTTTTCCACTGTTGACCGTATCTAAACGATGCTATACACCATACCTTGCACAGAGCTAAAGATTCATGTATGTCCTCTACTTGACGTCGTCGAGTAAACAACCTCTGACCTTGAGAGCAGTGGCATATTTTACGGAGTGAAGGCTCTGGCAGCTCTTGAATGTGCCTAGCGCCCTCTTCAAAGATTTTTTTGCCCCTGAAAACATTTACTCAGCAACACCCCGGGCTCATGAGTAAAAATGTGCCATTGCTTGGGGGACTCAATTTGACCCTTATGGTTTTAAAATCCAAGGTTCTTCAATGTCTCACTTTTAAAGATTGGAGTGCCCGGCGCTTGGGAGTCTCCCTTCCTAACACCGGGCCTTAAATGAGGAAATAAACGCTCTATCTAGGTGTCTCACCCCGGTTCTCCTCAAGTAGCACGAACCCACCGTGAATCAGGGTCAATTAAAACTATTATCCTATATAGCTCTATGGGGAAAATAATGAGTAAAATGATTCGAGCGAAAGATCATTTAGGGACAAGGGAAGTAAATGACACCTCGCAGGCCTGCTGCTGCAGCTACTGCCATCTGGTGGGAGCTCGATTCTCCAATCAATCGTAAGACTTCAGCCCCGTGACCGCAAGTATCGATGATCATGGTATTACAATGATAATAAGTTGAAAATACAAGATTTTGATGGCTCATCGAGTCATCTCCTCCCACGATTGACAGTATATTCCGATGCCTTCCCCCCTACGAACACAACTTTTGTAGCATATCTTCATGACTGCAGGTTGTAAGCATGATCTGGCTTGAACTTCTAAAACCTTAGGCTGGCCCGGCGTACTGTAGAGGAGAAAATCAGCTCAAGTTACAATTTTAATGAGCAGAGGAAGAGGAGTCCCCTAGTTCTCACGCTAACATAACCACATATGTCCCCTTTCCCTTTCAACGCCCTCGTCCTTCTCCGCGCCAGACGATAGCAAGCAGTCGAGTCCCCAGTCGATAGTTGAAAGTGGAACCCGAAGTGGTCGAGTGGGGGCTAACCGGCAGTCGTCAGTGGTCAATCGCATGTGACCGTCGGCAGTGTGCAGTCGGCTACGACAGTCAGTTGTGGGCTGTTGCAGTTTGGCAGTCATCTGGTTTTCGGTCGAGTCGTGTTCGAGTAGCGCGAACCCCAGTGAATCGCGTGAGTATTGGGCGTTGACAGAATCTGGAATAGTGGTAAGCTGCCTTTTGAGGCCCCTACCGACGTGAGGCAGCTCTTCCCTATTACTCCCATTCCCCATATATTTCCCCATTTGCTGTACCATACGCATTAGATAACCTTTCCTAATAACGCACCATCGATGCCTGTTCGGAGTCAGGCTTAACTTGCCAAGTTAAGCCAAGATTACCAAGATTAACTACCCGAGTTAATTCCCAAGGGGTTATCGGAACCAGAGAGACTAAGTCGCTTCTGCCGTGCTCAGAGGTTTCTCCTACGATCCCTCACCTTCCAAGCAGAACGAACACGCGACGTTTCTGAATAACCGATCATGAGAGTCCACTCCGGCAAAACAGCCTGCTGAACTGCCTCTGAGAATCCGTTTAGGGAGTTAAACCTGCTATGGAACAAGTTAGGGTGACACGCACCGGATCCGTTTAAGCTAAACGGATCCAGGAACTAATTTGATCTCACAATGGTCCCCTATGGGAATAAGTTTAACAGAGATAAAAACTTATTCTTATAGACGCCCATTATGAAAACGAATCAGCTTAAAGTTAAACAGATCTGGTGCATGCCACCCATAAACTTATTCCCATAGACTCCCAGTATGAAAACAAATCAGTTTAAAGTTAAACGAATCTGGTGCTTGTCACCCTTTATCTTTGAATATTAGTTTAAGAGAGAAATAAACTGATTTCATTTGGTGCATGTCACAAATCAGTTTAACGATGAGTTCAACTCATTCTTAAACATATGTACCTGGAATCAGATCAGTTTAGCTCCTAAACCGATGTGGTGCATGTCACCCTACGAATGAGATGTCTCGTTCATTTCCAAAATTACCTTGTTGCGCTAGTGAAAAAAAAGGTAAAAAAGAAAGAAAAGAAAAAAAGCTCGATCACGGTAGAGATTTTTTCACTTTTCCTACTGTCCCTAGCATTGCACTGCTAGGCATCTGATAAACTTGTCCTCTCCTTCGACGCACCATGCCATAGACTGCAAGAATGGCTGCATATTCCGCATTTTGTACTTTATATTCTAGGATGAAATCGAAGCCGAATCGCGATATCTCGTCGGGCTTCACCCCACACGTATTGGGAAATCGTCCCGCATTCAATGTCCGAGGTAAACTGAAGTTCACGACGGTTGTCGAATGGAGTCTCCACTTCGAATTTGAGAAAAGGTTAACGAGTGGAGGGGGCAACCCTGGCCCATCGTAGCATTTTCATAACGAGGGATCGCGTGAGAGAGGGAAAAAAGCGGACAAGGCTTCGGCTAGAAAGATGGTCTCCATGGTGACGGAAGCAAGTCAATCCCGGTTTCGTGTCAGATACCGCAACGCGTTACTTTGCTCTCACTAATCGACTGGATGCCTTTAAACATCTCACTTGCGCTGTGAAATGACTCCAGGGATGGAATGTTACCGTCGGGCAAATCACTTAGATCAGGGGTGTCAAACTCAAATCGGTCGGCGGGCCGCATTCCTAATCCTGCAGATGCCTGCGGGCCGCACCAATACTTTTTCACCGAAATTTGTGCTATCAGTCAATACAAGCGGAAATTTCAAGAACAGGCGGCGAGCCGGATGAACCACCTCCGCGGGCCGGATCCGGCCCGCGGGCCGTATGTTTGACACCCCTGACTTAGATGAAGGAACACTTTAAAATGTCAGATTTGGGGGGGTAGAATCCACAGTTTGACGCGAGGAAGTTCTCTGGGTCATTGTCAGAACAAACAGTACATAAATAATGCAAAACTATTACGGCGGAAAATCGACCTGGATGGGAAAAACGTTGACACGCCCTCAAAGCAGTACCTCCATGGATTGCAGGTTGTGACACCTTCTCAGGTGTGATTTCTAGATTTCTGTATCATCATATGGAGTGAATCCTCCGGAAGTAATGCTTTTTCTGTTCTCAGCAACCCAGGAGGGGCCACGAATTCAATCCAAAGCAGAGAGAAAAAAAAAAGGTGAAAGGGAAGGATGACTATCAGGATGAATTAGACAAAAAGAAGGCTCTTTCAAGTCCCATGGGGGAATTTTTTTTTTAGGAAAATGTTAAAACAAAATTATATATTCCCTTTTCGAAGAACAAAAAGGATATGCAATCTCTGTGAGTGCTGCATTAACGCAGATGGAGCCCCCTCCTTCATGCACGCATGTCTAGAGCTCTCATGAATCATGAGCGGCATGTCTTTTTATACCGTCATCTCCCTTCTCAGACCTTAGGAAAGATCCCACATTCAACTGACACGTCTCTGGATTATTGTCTTTGGAGGCATCTTGAGGAGCGGATTTCTAGCCCGAGGAAGAAAATCTCCAGTGGATGAAGGAAACACCGGGAATGAAATTAGCGTTCGGCAAACAGTACTCCAGAATGTCATTAAAGGCATCTTTAAAAGTGCACGAAGACGAAAAGAAGCAGAATTCACCTCTTCATCGTCAAGCGCCTCCCATGATTGAAAATATGATCTCAAAGTATTCAATTCCAGATACCTGTTTGTTCATGTGTTTCATTCTTTATGCGATTCTCTTTTCCGAAGAACGTGTGTTGATTCTTTTTGCTTTAATCTTGCTTCGAATGAAACAACCTAGCCTACGGAAAACTAGCTTCTTTTTTATATTTCAGGAATTCCTTTCATTCCTGTATGCTTATCATTAGAGCTGATTATCCCATAAAAATAGCTTTCTTTCTATTATATCTTCTTAAGAACGATCAATAGAGATGGCTCCAGGGTTTACGGCAAAGAATATGCTGGAGAAATCACGTCATCTATTAACATTTTGGGATGAACGTTACCATAAGGGAAACACCCATGGAATCCAGTGCAATAAGGCTGCTAAAACCTCCATTTTGTAAGATTCCACAGGAGTTGAGATATTCCGTGCATTCCTAGCACAGCATTGGCTGAGAAGGGAAGACTTGATAATTCATGTCTCCTTAGCCCGAGGAAGAAAATCTCCAGTGGATGAAGGAAACACCGGGAATGAAATTAGCGTTCGGCAAACAGTACTCCAGAATGTCATTAAAGGCATCTTTAAAAGTGCACGAAGACGAAAAGAAGCAGATTTCACCTCTTCATCGTCAAGCGCCTCCCATGATTGAAAATATGATCTCAAAGTATTCAATTCCAGATACCTGTTTGTTCATTGTTTCATTCTTTATGCGATTCTCTTTTCCGAAGAACGTGTGTTGATCCTTTTTGCTTTAATCATGCTTCGAATGAAACAACCTAGCCTACGGAAAACTAGCTTCTTTTTTATATTTCAGGAATTCCTTTCATTCCTGTATGCTTATCATTAGAGCTGATTATCCCACGAGAAATCACGTCATCTATTAACATTTTGGGATGAACGTTACCATAAGGGAAACATCCATGGAATCCAGTGCAATAAGGCTGCTAAAACCTCCATTTTGTAAGATTCCACAGGAGTTGAGATATTCCGTGCATTCCTAGCACAGCATTGGCTGAGAAGGGAAGACTTGATAATTCATGTCTCCCTGGAATGAATGAGGAAGAGCGTTTCGGCAACACTGGTGGTTAAAGCCGCTTCCGCGCAGCCCATCTTTTCCTTTTCCTTAGCGTCGGCCAGGCAGTACGATGTCTACGGTCAATGCAGTGCAGGTAGTGCCATAACATAACAGTGCCTCTCGGCTCCCCTTCTCTCCCTCACGTCCGTGTAAGGGCACTATTTGACCAACTGCCGGACTTACTTTTCTTTTGAAAGGATATATATTACCGTGCTGTGGTGCAGACAGGATCACCAAATCAGCATGTTAGTAGTAGGCCAATCAGATATACTGGTGACACATACGCCCCGTTTGCAATCACAGTACACATGTTGCCATAGGTCCAAGCGGACCTAGGCTAGCTGGAATGGTGAAGGAGATAGTGCAGATGGGTGCATGTATGGGCCGCTGCCTCCATGCCTGCAAAAGTCCAAGGTAGGAACCCAAATGTCATGTACTCAGATGCTCTTTCATTTTGCATTAATGCATTTCTCCTGTTTAATTTCCTTGTGTCCCCCAGAAAATTCAGAAATCGGGGCTTCCATTATCAACGGGGAGAATTCGTGGATACTGAGGCAATGCTGCGGGTGAATGACATTCAGATGTTTCATAATTTGTCATTTATTTCCAATTAGAGAACAGGGAATTAACCACTGTTCCTCCTTTTTTTTCTTGATTGTTGCAGGCATCATCAGGAGGAGGGCCCATAAGGTAGCACTTTTGAGGCATCACCTGTGTCATCATTCTTCTTTGATTCACACCCCTGCAATGACAATGAAACTCCAACCCCAATATGCATGATAGGCCTATTTTACCCACCCTTTTCTCAAACACATTAATAAATTATAGGAAAAATGTAGGTAAATGGTAGATAAAAATTGACTCTTAGATGTGCATGCGAGAGGGTAATGCCACAAGGTAAAAGTCCTTTCTTCTTCCCACATGCAGCATTTCACGGTTCTTGGAGCGCTGGTCTTTGCATAAGCATGTGAGTAACATTCTCTCATCACTGCCAGTCCTTGCATGCATCTACAACACCTTATTCCAACTGATTTACATTTTTTGCAATGAACTTCAGTTTATAATATGGCTATGATCATGATGGTTCTGCAGTGTGTTACTGTTCAGAAACTCACAGTTCACACATGAAGGCAGTGATTAACCTCTACTTAGGTTAATTTGGATTGTTGAAGTAATGCTAAGCACTCAAATAGATAATTATGCACTCAGATGTAGGTACACTTTTATTTTTGGTGCTTGTCGCCTGTTGGCAGCAATAGGATGAAAACCTGGTAACATGCCAAATTTGAAAGGGGTACTCCTGTGCAGACAGGAATAATTTGTGAGCATCTTATATGCAGGGACATAGCCAGGGGGATGTCCTGGGTGTCTGGACACCCCCTGAAATTAAGCAAATTTTCATGAAACAAGGAGTGTGAGGGGAAGAGGTGAAAAGTTTCACATATACAACTGAAGTTTAGATTTCTACTCTTATTCCACCTTTTGAATATAATCGCTCTTAACTAATACAGTGCCCCACCATTTTTTGCTTCCATAACTCCACATTCCCAGAGGGAGGGAGGAATTAGCTCCTCAAGCTGATAGGCTGACTATGTGCTTACAGCCTTGTAATTTAGAGCGGTATTCTGAGTGAAATTACCAGCTTGAGGGGATAAGAATGACAAGACTGAGGGAGATGTTCGCATGGAAGGATACTAGTCCAACCACTACCACTTGTGTCCCTACAACCGTCTCTGTATGTACAGGCTTTCATTTGCCATTTGACATCAAGGCTTTACGATTGAAAAATACATATATTTAAAAGGAATTCTAAGTTTACCCAGCTTGGTTTAACCAAAATCTATGCTAGACTTGTAAAATACCCACTCCATGGCGATTATGTTTGGCTGATAGGGGAGTGAAAAGAAAACAGCCTGGCTAGGGAAAATCAAATTGTCTAATGAGTGAAAGAACTCTAAGAGCCATCAACCAAGCCTCTTCCTGTGAGTTAATGTCTGCTATTCCCTGTGTGCGAGTCAGCATTTCCCTTCATAATAACCTGGACACACATTGGCATTGATCTTTCTGTGCAGGAACAGCATTTTTGGCTGTTGGGAGGGCAAGACAAAGAAAAATGTTCCCCAGCTGGTGAAAGTTTAGGAATTTTTTTCAGGGCTGGTCTAAGCCAACTTTCTTCAAGCAGCTTTCTATAGTTTCTGCTGATTTTTGGAACAGCAAACCCCACCAAAACATTGACTCTACCAATGGTTCTGGCCAGAACAATAGAGGCACTTAAATAATGCTCATATGTACTTGATTATGGTATCACATCTGTCAAACCTGAAATTCATAGCTGAACTTTTGGTTTAGAAGAATTTTAAATTCATTGATTGGATTTTTTCATCCACCCATCTATCTGAAGGGTGATACCAATCTTTTCACATGTCCAAAAATGGTGCCCAAAGAAAGTGGTATTGTAATTGAATGAACGAATAGAGTCCTCCCAGAATGTATACAAAAGGGCTTTTGAAGTTTTCCTCATTCCTCCCAACCACTCACCTTCCTTGATGTCTTCCACTTTCACCCCTCAAGATTTAATTGATGGTTAAATTATCCCTTTCATCTCATCTTTGTAAACGGAGGTGAGAGTGCTTACGGGTGACTTTCCAAATGTTGATTTCATCGCTGATATTCACATCTGTCTCAACCCTTTAAAAGGGGAGGTAGAGTTAACTCCCGGTTTCACTTTCCCACGCTGTGAGAGAGATAATGAAAATGACTTGGAATAATTCAAAACTATAGTCCCTCATGGATTTAGAAATCCTTGTTCTTAAAGAATCATATGCAATAGTTAAATGATGATGGTACAAAATGCACAAATTAGGTCATACAGCTGAAAAAAACTTGCATCTGAAAGAACTGCTTCCAAAGGAACAGATGGTGTACCCAATTACATCACATAATGCAGGGCTGTGTCATATTTTTTTAATGTCAATTTTGTTTGTCTGAAATAGAAATAGAAATACTGGAGACAGTGAATCTGAGCCTCCCAGTCTGTATTTCTTTTTCTTCTTTATCCTGGCACCCACAGTCTCCGGCATGACCAGCTGTGATTCTTCCTTCTAAATCAAAGTCGTGAGTTCAAAAATGTTTAAGTGGCACTTATGAGCATATGTCAGTGTCTGTCTTACACAGGGATAGTGTAACTGGGAGTTGACCTTCCCTCCCCTTTTTAAAGGGTGAGGCAGATATGGGTATCAGACATGAAAATCACATGTGGAAAGTCGCCCCTGTGCACTTTTGCCCCAGCTTTTTTCAATCAAAATGCAGGGGTGAGATTCCTTTGGGGGAAAAGTGGAAGTAACCCCTTCCTTGCCCTCTTCATCATATCGTGAGTTTGAAAGAGCTGCACAAGACACCCCCCGAAAATAATTCCTGGCTACATCCCTGCTTATATGTGATCATTAAGGATATATGCCAATAGAGTTGACAGGATGATAAGCAAGAATTTAAGCTAATATGTAGTTGAATTCATGAATAGCAAGGGGATGATGAGCTAAGTATGTTGGAGTTGGAAGAGACAGAGCCAATATCAGACAATCTCATGACCATAAACCCAGCCAGCCTGGCTCATAGACAACTTCCCATTCCTAAGTGAGTTCCCATGAATTCTAGTATTACAAGATACAATTTGAAATATATTTTTGGTCATAAAATTTTTGTCCTATTAGCAGACAAAGTCCAGCTCACAGAGCTTTGATGAGCCAGAGGGAACACATCACTTCCACACCTCCTTCTTCTATCGACTTGGAATGGGAACTGGAATGTGGTGAGGATCTACTTTCTCTTCCTTCCATGACATCCAAAAATCTTATAGTCTCCTTAAACAAAGTCACTTTACTTCTCAAACTATCAACAGGTATGCCAGATCTCATTCTGGACTCTCAGAAACGATTGCTAAAAAGTGAAGAGGAGGATGAAGAGGATGACAGTGTCCGTCACTTGGGCTCATCTCCAAGTACATCCTTGGAATGGGATGCAACAGAGCAAGGAAATCCACCATTGGGGGACAATCCAATGTATAACATTGACCATGAGACAGAAGAACTCATCCAAGAGATAGAACAGCTTACAGCACGTGCACTACAAGAGACTGGATTGCCTCTAAGGTGATTTCTCAGTGTAATGTACCCTTATTCAGTACCCTGAATTCCCACATAACAAGCTTCCATGTGTGCAAACCCAAGCGTTTCCTCATAACAGCAATAAATGGAAATGTAATTTTGGGCTGTGATGCAGGTCTTCAACACCTGGATGTAAGATGTATCAGATGAGTTGGCTTCCTTCATATTAAAATTGCTCCATGAATGTGATTCTTTGTGATTTGAATCTGTGGGTTATCTGTGTTATGTCAATGTGCTGATGGTCAGAACAATGTCAGTAACTTAGTCCTTTATGTGCTTTGTGTCATATCAACAGCAGTCATGGGACACCTTGCCAAACCTTGTGACATGCAAACAATCCCCTTTTGTGCTGAATTTACTTGAATCATGGAAGAGTGGATTGAATGTGCTTTTCTTGTTACAAGAATGGACCCCCTGATTACATTGCATTTATATTGCACTTCCCTATTATGGTCAATCACATCATCAGTTTTTGAATTATAGTTTCATTTCTTCCCATTCAGCAATCATGTCATCAGTGAAGGAAAATATAGATTTTTCCTTGACATAAAAAACTATTCTCCTACCTCAGTAACTAGCAGAGCATCAACAGAGGCCTATTGCATGATGCCATTTTCGACATTGACCATTATTTTAGAATAAATTTGTCAGTGGTTCATACCTATTTGTCACCCTCATGATGTCAGCTATATCATACATTTTTGTATGTTTTCATGCAGAGCAACCATGTGGTAAACCCATGTTTTTCCATGCAGAAGATTTATAACATGACACTTCATGCATTTGGGCTTTTTATTTTTAAGCCTAATTGCCAATATTCTTTCTAATGTTGGTCAGTGCCAGCATCAAGCACCATACTTCTTGATAGACTAAAAGAGCTAATACATGATTGTTACACAATGTTTCTCTTTCACCATCCTACTGGAAACAGAAATAAGGCAGCAAAGATTGACATGATAAGGTGAAATATTGGTATCTGCAATGCAAATCCATTTAGAAATTACCTTTGTATCACCAGATTTAGCAAGGTTTGTATAACATGACTCAGGGTGATTGATCAGATTAATGTCTATTAGCAGCCATATTCAAAAGGCTATATTGAGAAATGACTGCTGCCTTCAGGTGAAGTTTTAACTTCTATGCCAAAGGCTATCAGCAAGCCAAGAAGCATTTTAAACATGATCTCAATTCTGGACACCACTGGCTTCATTAAAACACATTTTCTGAAGCTGCACAGTACCTCAAATAGAATTTGGGATTAGGCTTCAATTTTCCTTTCCAAAGAGATTTTGCAAAACATTAAAGTGTCCTTAAGGCCCTATATTGGTATGGACTGGATGAATGGAAATATGCTAAGTAACCCCAAAAAAATTTTGAAGAGAAAAATTTGGATATCCAGGTATAAGATTCTTTTATGAGTAGTTTGGCAGTAATGAAATATAAAAGCAATGGATTACAGTAACTAATTACATTTTATGGTTATTTCAGTGGTAATGAGTTACTTTAAAGAAGCAAGTAATGGAAGCAATTTCAAGTTCCCTTTTTATGGAAAATTTCAGTGGCATTACTGTAATGCATTATTTTCTTGGTTGGCAGACGTGACTTCAAATGAAGGTAGTGAGTACTGTTTTACAACATCCATCCTTCCCATCACTGATACTACGAAGCTGAAATGCAGTTCATCAATGTACCCCAACCAGCTGGTGCTGCTGTGGAGAGGCTATATAATGAAATTGAGGACATTTTAACTTATAACAGAATTTCTTGTGCCAGCTTTAAACAGCAGCTCCCTTAAGTGGACTTAAAGCATGTCAGTAGATCATCACTCATAACTTGTGGGAGGGTGCCAGCCACAGTTCTTTTGCACCCTTGCATGAAAATACAGATCTCGATTTCTTGGGAGTACTCTCATGGACATCAGTTGCCTATGGAGAGGATTCTTCACACTTAGTGTATATCATACTTCTACACTAGTGTGTGTAAACCCTCCCTGAGATGGACTACACCAATACCCTGTTTTGCATCGGGGTTAGGTTACTGGAAAACACAACTCAAACTGAAACGACGCAACTTCAAATCGATGCAAAACGGGGTATTGGTGTACAAACCTAGGATGGTTATTACAAAAAATTTCTGAGGCACTCACTGGAATATTGTTAGAATGAAGACCAGTTCCAAGTTGGCTGCTCATGAAAGGTAATTTGGAAAGTAACTTGCACTTATAACTATAGTAATACCTCACCACCCAATGTCTCTCAACACACCACGTTTCAGTTTTATGCTCATTAAACATTATGACTCTACCTCCCAATCTGCTCGCTATAGGCTTGGTTTTTCAGGAATGCATCCCGAGCACATAGCGAGGTATTACTGTAGTTACTTTTAGTGAGAAGGATTTACACTTGAAACTAATTACTTCTAGGATGGAATACAAGTAATCACAACTTACTTTTCACATGTACCAAGCCAACCACTGCTTATGTGGCCTTTTAAAGAGTTGAAGCTATCACTATCAGCACAAGAGACATGAATTGGTAAATAGAACTCACAGAGGTCAAATCCTTTCGTCTGTAGCGTTTCAATTTGATGTTGTTGACATAACGGAGTTCCCCATTCCATGCCAGCAGGTATTCAACATTCTTGTGGTTAAAGAGATCTGGCATCTCTGCATGACAACACCAGATTAGAAACAAGGTTAAGAAGCCATTCTCAGCAGCAGGACTGTCTTTCATCATCTACATCCAATAATCCCATTGTTGTATTCAGTCTGACAGCCTAGTTCCCTATTCAAATTCATTGTTGGATCAGGCTTTACACAAAATTTCCCCCTCTACTGCTCCATGAGTTTGAGTGATTACAGCAATGGTGCAACTAAAATATGGCAGCTTTTCCATAAAACATTTTAGAAGTAATTGGAGCAGGCAGGGCTAATGGATGTCAATAAGGTTAAGTCCAAAGGGCTGATTCCAATTGGATGGATTACCTATAATACTAAGGGCAGGGCATGACTCAGGACATGGAGGGATTGAACAGGATCTATACTAAGAACTGGATCAGCCAAAAATAATTGGTACATCATTCTGCTGCAGTAGATGTTAAAGCATGGAAGCAATAAAAATTAAAGAAAGCGACTCATCTCCCCAAATTGCCTAAGTTTCTAAGTTTTCCTTCCTAAAAATTAGTCCATTGCCTATATGATTTTTTAAGTAAGTTATTTCATGTTTGGAAGCATTTTAAAAGTTGTATGCAGTTGTTCACAAATTGTATTTAATATAGTGTCATGGTTTGAATGACTGATTTACCAATGCCACATGATTCAAAGTCAAGCTTCTCCTGGGAGAGATGTAAATGAAGGAAACCCTCTCGTGATGCATGCTGCCTCTTTCTTTGGTTCCGTTTCCCCCCTCCAATTGAGTTCTTCAAATCTATCTGCTCCAATTCCTCATCACATCGACCCAAGTATCTATAAGACAGAAGATCATGCATCATGTTTCATGAATTCACAGTGCTTTGAAAAAGATGATGTGCCAGGGGGGTGCCCCAGGGCATAAACATTTTTAAAATTGCACCCAGTGCATGCAGGCTTCTGTGGAAATTCACAAGAATTAATTTCTTCCCTTGAGAGACTCACTTGTCAATGAGCTGTAGTGTCTGCTGAGGAGAGAGTTCCTTACAGGTAGGGAAATCTGAAATCAGAGTCTCCTTTATCCATGCCAGCTTTTCTCCCAAGCATTTTAATCTAGAATTTCCAGCTGCCTTTATTTTCTCCCTCTTAGCAATTCTGGAAAAGGAACAAATCATATGACAAGTTGCAGGATCAGGTTCACCCAGTACTCCTCCAATGATGATGTAGATAACAGAAATGTCTACAAACCGATTTGTGTGAAACAGGAGCTGTGCAGCTTTTCGACTCTTAGGATGGGGAAGCTCACCACTCACTTTCCCCTTCACTTTCATTTCTCCGCACTAGGTCCTGGAACAACTTTACCAATCATCATCACTGTCACAGGAAATTGAAGCACAATTGAGGTAAGTGGGGAGCAGTGGCAGCTCATGATATTCAGCAGTAGTGGATTGTCAATGGAGCAGGGTAGGCCCAAGCCAACCCTACCTCCATTAAGAATACACTACCGGTGAATATCATGAGCCATCCATGGTGGAAAGTAAAAAACAGTCTTAAGTGCACAGCATAGTTTTCATTTTGTAATAGGAGCATCATAACTGCACACAATATGTTTCTTCCAATTTGTTATTCCAGGGTGACAAGCCCTGAGAGCTCTCAAAACTGAAAAGCCCCAACCAAAGAGACCCTAAACTGTTTTTCTGAACTGCTTTCATTCCATACTGCTACAAAATATTAAGAGAAACAAAATTCCTTTGATAATGACACCTCTGATATTTCATTGACCTATTTGCATCAGGCATTACATGAAGTACAAACTGTTGATATTCAATGTCATCAACATAATTTGCTTAAACTTTATCCAAGCAATCATTCACTATGTAAAACCATTTGAACATTAATGAAGATCTTTATGCAAGGGTGAATCCTTGAGTTTGTTGGATGGCAATTAGAAGCTTTTCCTGCAGGGTCTTTTGGTCTTTGTATCGAGGCAGATCCAGGAGGTTGAAGCATGTGTGGGCCACAGGCAGATATTGTTCTCCTCCATTTGTTGGTTGGATGCATATCTGCAACAAAAATGTCACTGCCTTCAAAAGATTCAAGATTCAATTTGAGCTAGATTGGTAGGTGACAGATTTAAAATGTGAAAAGCAAAGCTTACCTTCATGGCTTTCATTCCCAATATGGGGATACGGTCAGTCCCTGTGAGAAATTTGAGAAACTTCTTTTTCTCATCCAATGACAAGGAGTGAAAGACATCCCAGAAGAGGCGGATGGTTGGATGAGATGGAGAATAGTCTTCTTTGTATGAGGCATTTGACTCCAGGATGTCCCAGTCATAGTTCTCATTCCCAACCACCAGTCCCATTAATTCCACAGGGGTGAAAAGTCGGAGGATGAGAGAGCCACAAACCTTATGAAATCCTTCAGAGAATGCCTTCAGACTTGCAGATATTGACTGCTCCAAGATGTACTGAGTGTACAGATCCACAAATTCCTTCCTAAACACAAAGAAATCCCCATATCATCACCATGAAAGTGTACTCAAAGTACACTAAGTCCATTCCTGACCTGTTTTCATGAGTGACCAGAATCTCAGATCCATTTTCTTTCAGTGGTTTGGTGATTACTTCTCCATACTGATGACGAGTGATCTCAAAGCGAAAGTCATACTTTTCCTCAAAGTCATCCCCATTGTAAGAAAGCATCTCTTCAAAGGACTTGGCCACACTTGGAAGGAGGTCTTGCAGATCTTCAAGTCCAGTTGGTTCCCCCAAGAGTTTCTTGTATAGAGCCAGGGGGAATGGGAGGCTGATAATGGTGAAATTGTAGATGGCCAGGCCGCACACTAATCCCACAAGGAAGTACATCATTGGTTCTTCGAAGGAGTCCTCAGCAAACCAAATGTGATGCGTCTCCTCATAATTTGTAAACATCCCATATTTAGGATCCAAGAGCTCCCTCATTAGCAGCATGAAAAATTCTTTCTTCACTCCTCCTGCATCCACTCCTTCCTCCCCAAAAAATATCACCTGAGAAAGAGTCACTATATGATTGGTTTATTTGTTCAACCTTGCAGCATCTCATCCCTTCCATTGTGAAGAAACAAGGACATTGTTACTTGCTTTTTTACATATAAGTGTGCATGTCTATGAGTATGTTGGGGAGATGGGTATTGGTCTCCATTAGCTCCCTCAAGTAAAAATGAGGAAAATATGTACTCATCCTCATCCTCTCCCTTGACCCCATAAATGCTGTTCTTTATGCTAGTTCTCATCATATTATTCTGTGTAGTATTGATTTCGATGCCATGATGAGGCCATGATGTAAAAAGCAGCCTTCATTGTGTCAAGTTAGAGAAATCATTCATGCAGTCCAGAAACTCCATCCACCTCATATGCAGAAAAGGTACATTTTATGACTCCACTTTGAATGACAGTTGTCAATTTTTATTCAGACAACCTAGGCACATGAAACTTTCAGAAAGCAAATTTTGTGATGTTTCCAATGTGATACAAAAACATCATGTACCTATATGATACACAGAAGGTTGTATGAAGCATCAAACAGGACATGTTTTTTTTGGGCCTGATATATACCCACTCAAAAAAGAAATGCATAGCTGAAATATATATGATTATAATATAAGTACAGTTCAATGACATTATGACATGTAGCTATTAATTCAAGTAGGGCAGAGCAAACTCAAGTGCTTGACACCATTTTGCTCTTGAATATGCACAATCCATAACTGCTTGTGCATGAATTCAAGTTTTATGTAACAACCCAGTATAATGCACATGGATACCATTCTTTCAATGAAACCTGGTGCAACATTGCATAATGTTGTATTCAATAAAAGGGCCAGGTTCTCATCAATGGGTAGGCAGTTGTTTTATTGTAGGCAAAGTCATCAAGGATGCCAAGACTCTCAGAAGCAGATTGCAAAAACGCTATTGGGAGATTGGAAGCTGGTGAATCCTAGTCATCAGTTGCAAGACATATTAACATGCACCAGAGTACCGTCTCAAGGTTATGGGATTGGTTCCATCAACATGGTTCAATGTGTGACCATCCACGCTCTGGCAGATCACTCATCACCAATCAGAAAATGTTGGCTCAAACCATCTGTAAACTGCTTACAGGCAGCAGGTTTGAGATCATGACAACCACTTTGTGGGTTTGTATTGCAAGACCAGAACAGGCAACTTTGCTGTGGTGATGCAGGCACAGGGTATGCTCTCAAATGCATTGAAAAACAGTCATGTTCAGTGATAAGTCTCAGTTTCTTCTGAGAAGTACTGATGGGTACACTAAGACTATGCACTGTCACTACGCATGTCTTTTTTGTGTGAGTATATTTCAGAAAGTGGATTTCATTTCCAAACAATGGAATTGCCACCATGTCCTTGAAGGGGGGGGGGGAGTGGTTTTATATTTTCCTTCACCATGTGCTCTACCTGACATGTAAAGCAGACACTACTTCATGTGAGACAAACCCATTAAGTGAATATACAGGTTCTCCACTCTTCTGCCTGCCAGGAAATTCATGAAGCTGGCAAATCAGTGCCAAAAGTTTCCAGAGGTATGGAGTGGAATGTTCATGGCAGGTATTAGGATCTTGGGAGTACACAGACCTTAGGAGAGTGATGCAAAATTAGCCCATAGTCTATGCCTTGGCTATAGGAAAGGGGACATGTGCCACCTGCCTGGTAGTGGGAGCAACAAAAGGAGGCATATATGCTACCAATGGAGCCACACATCCCCAACATTTGCAACAATACCTTGGTCATAGCTTGCTGAGTTTTGGTTGCAACACAAAGAAAGTGTAATGCAGAACTTCTCGAGATATTAAGCTTTCCATTGATGCTGGTTTTGCTCTGATCCAATTGGCAGCAGGGGAGGAGTTTCCAGATTGGGAGAATGCCTAAAAAAATGTTGACCTTTGACCTCCAATATCTCAAAGGGGAAAGGTCCATAAAAGAAACTAACTTCACCGGCAAACTCAGGAGGCTTGATAACCCCTAAAAGCAAAAAATTCAATTTTGTTGGATGGAAAGTGACCAAACTCCTTCACTCTGATGCCCCACCCCAAGGAAGCTTAAGGTCCAAGTTTCAGTGTCAGAGGTCATACTGTCTAGGAGGAGAAGTGGCCTCAGACAGACATTTACGTTTATCTATACCACTTATATTTCAGAGTGTTTGTTTGTGTGTGTGTCTGTTCTTTATGCACGGCCATGCCTCTGATCCCAGTCGGACCAAACTTAGCATGGCTTCTTCATTTGGTCCAAGGATGGTCATAGGTTAGGTGGTGTTTCAAAATTCAGACCCCCAGGGATACCTTAGCAAGTTAGTTAGTATTATATAAGACATGAGGGGAGGGCAGAAGGGAGGGAAAGTGTGGCAGTACATGATGGAAGCATGTTGAGTGCACATGCATGCACATTTTGCCATTATCCATTGAATGTAAGAGAATCAACTCGTGGGAGGAGAATCGAGAGATTTCTGAAGTATTAGATACAGGTTAGAATAAATTCAGTTATGCATCCTGTTCCTGATTCCTAGGCTTTTCTTGAAGAGCAATAATAGCATACAGACCTTGAGGGGTTTCTTGAGCTGATTTTCAGGTATCTGGAGGAGCTGCTCAATAGTGGAATCAACTAGGTTTTCCCGAGACACTGTGAGGACCAGGTACTCTGGCTCTCGAAGAAATACTCGAGTGAATGGCAAGAAGAAGACCTGAGATCGACTCTGCTCCTGGGCTTTTCTCATTTGCAGGCTGGCATCTGTTCGCAGAAGTATTGTCTTCCCAGATGCATCAAACACAAATGGGAAGTCACAGAACCTCATACCCTATTGAACAGATGGCCAATGCATCATTTGTCTAATATATCTGAAGAGATTAAATTGCAAGCAGTAAGAGAGCTAGTGTATCTAACCTTCTTCTCTTCTGTGGAAGCCCATTTGAAATAGTCCAGAGGGATGTTGACCAATTCACTCAATCGAGGGAGATGAAAGGCCTCATGTGAGATGATTACACTGCGACTCTTGTTGCTCTCCCAGAGCCTTGAAAGAAAATTCAGCAGCTTACTAAGGTCATCATGCAGGACTGGACACAATTCCACTCCACTCCCTTCATGTTCCTAAAAAACAAGAACCCAGACATGGATATGGTCAGCCAGGAGTGTTTTTTTTTTCGTAACATTAATATGGTAAATTTTATATAGACTTACAGCACTCTTTGGAATTCGAGCAGCAAGATCAACAAGGGTTGTTTCGGTCAAGTTCCTCACTGCTTCCACCAAATTGGAAAAGTACTCTCGAGTCTGTGTGCTCCACCAAGTAGCTAATCAACATCATTATTGCTCTCATAATCTTTCAAAGCCAGTCTTTTGAGAGGCTGAGACCAACTCAAGTCAAAACTCACAGAGGACCTTCCAAGCAGCTAAGGGTAGGCTCATGACATGATCGGCATATGGGAGCAAGATTGTTGGCTGGCTGAAATTGTGATAGACTGGAAGAATAAGGAAAATGCGCAGTGCTTCAACATCAGGTGGTGGGCATGGCCAATGTGAGAGCAATGTGTTTACAATGGCTTCCTCAATCTGAAAATCATCAAACCCATCTAGCATGAAAACAATATGGGATGGAAGATTTCACAACTGACTTGACAGTTCCAAATGAGGATCACATACATGTTCCTGCATTGAGACCGATGGACAATGCTGGATGGTGGTAAAGGCAGCAAAGAGGGATGGCATGTGGACTCCTGGATTATAGCGAGCACATCCAAAGTGGTGGCCACTTGGATCCAGAAATGAGGCATTCAGGCAGGCACAGGATCCAAAAACAACCTCCAACTCACTGTGATAGATTCCTCCATATTATTCATATGTCCTTAAGCTTCAGTATCCACATTGAAAAGGAGGGCAATTCAGTGTGTTTCAGGATGGAACCTGTATGCAGACAATATGAACATGTAAGTATGCTTCCCTGACAGTTGCAGGTTTATCATGTCTCTTTGGGCTATTCTGCATAAAACAGGTTTTCTGATTACAGTCAGCATGTGGCAACATAGGGAAGAAGGTACCACCTCATCTGTTAAAAAATGCCTACACCCAGACCATTTTTATTCTTCTAATTTATTCACCCATGCACCCATGATGATGCACCCATAAAGATTCAAATTTCATAAAGAGAAGTGTAGATGTACCAGAATTTTATTATTCAGGGATTTGAACAGTTATTGCATTCCATTCCTTGGTCACTGTAAGAAGTGCACAAGAAGCAATCCATGAAGATGGAAAGTATTTTTGACAGTGCATGCAGAACCTCTGTTCAGTGTGAAAATAAAAGAGAAAATTCAATGTACTATGATCTAAGTGAGTGACTGTAGATACTAAGAAAATGCATATTTGTTACAAGCAGTAATAAGATGAGTATTTGGCAAATAATCCCATGGAGAGACAGACAGACAGCAAGAGGAGAGTTTGCAAAATCATTCAGCTTTGCTGAGTATATGTCAGTGGTCTTGTGCTCCTCAATGTCAACCATTATTCTCCATGCAAACATGAGTATGTAAGAGCTAGTGAAATGGTCATATCAAAGTAGAGCAAAGAGGAGAGAAAAATAAAAAACAATCAACCCCAACAGTTTGGGTGTGAGCACAAGATGGCATTGAAATACACAATGTTAGTACTATCAGACAGTACTCCTTCAATGACTGCTACTGATAATCTGACCAAGGCTTATTGGTCAAGAGTCAAGGATCAATCAAGTCTTGTCTTGTCTCAGATAGAAAGTACTGAATATCACTTCATAGCTATGTGCAGCAAGATGGAGAGCAACATTTCTAGAACATGAATAAGTAGACTCCACTCATTCAGAGTTTCCTTCTAGGATGCATATTGATGAATGAGGGATGAAAAGATTATTCCATCCTGTTTATTTTCTCCATAAAAGAAAACATTGCCTTCATAAATAAAAAATATCTAAACCTCTTTAGTAAACACCTATGATGGACTAGTTTATTTGACATTTGGTACTCCCAATCCCAGTTCAGACTGTGCAGGAAAAACATCAGGTAGCAGTAATGACAGAAGCACAGAAGTTCAGAAGCATGTCTGGCAGTGTGCATGCCTTGTGAGTAGAGCTGTACTGGTGGCCCTGTTTGGCTGGTGGCTGCTAATGATCTCATACATATCAGCCAGTGCCAATGCTGATAGCGATGTACAGATGATGACTGAAGAACAATGATATGAAATCCACGTTTTACATTGTTTTTTAGGGCTGTCACAATTGCTGCTTTGAAAATATTGCTCTATTGACCTGAATGATAGTGCATCAATGCATCACAGGGGGGGAGAAAGGGAGGGGAGGGGGAGGGGTTTGGGAAGATCAAAGTGTTGCTGGCAAATTCAGTCATTGCTTGTCTTGACTGGGCAGAGGTTTGACTTCCATCATTAATCAGGGCATGGACCTCTTTCTGTCTCCTGTCATTTCTTGTCTGTGATTAGGTTGGGGAGGACCATTGTGATCCATAAAGAAGCTATTAATGCAGCCAACATTGGTGACTTGTGATATTCAGCAGTAGTGGATCATCAATGGAAGCAGGGTAGGCCTTGAACTATCAATGATGACAATGATCCATCAATTGATGCATAGTGATGGCCCTAATTGTTCTTATTGCTGAGAATCATTAACTGAGCTGCAGTCATGTATTTTTCATTCTTTTTTTCAATGTTATACACCTTTGATGAGCAGAGGCTGCTAATATCAGGCTTTAGGAACCAAGTTAGAGCAATATTTTTAGTGTTGTGGATCCTTTTCTCTCATGTGCATATGTTTCTCCTTGAGGGTAATTAGATCTTTTCAGAGATATGGCTCAGTACAGTTTCCTTAACCCTTTACAGGTTACTGGGATAATAGTTTTCCACCTCTCATCTCACATGCACATAGCAGGGCATCCCTTTCTTGCTAATGCGAGGAATTGCATTGTAGCGCTGTCAAGACAGAAACGTGATATTTCCATAATTGATTGAAATATGATGTAATAGTCACTCTTGTGAGAATATTTCTCACTTACCATTATTACACAGCAAAACCATTTTCTTGTGATTTCCACATGAGCCACCTCAATTTTCATTTGACACTGGTGAATGAGTTAATTGGGACCTTCTCTAGCAAGAAAAGGAGAGGCCCTGCTCCAATGAGTGGTCACACAAGAAAGCGAAACAGTCCATCTTGGACAAAAACTGTTACAAATACTGTGAGACTGGTAAATGTTGGATCTCATCTGTCAGAAGTAGTCCCAACTTACAGACGTTGTACGCATTGCAGCACAAAGAATAAAGAGAAAAGAAGTAACATAATTTGCAGTGCTTGAGATGTTGCTTTATGTAAGACATGCTTTGCAGTGCTCCATCAAATCTAAATCATATATTTAGATTCGATGGAACCGGTATATCCATTGTGATTAGTGACATTCCCTGCAATTGCAATGGGGAAAAAGATTATAATCCTAATTTGCATATTTAGAAGTGTGAAATTTATTATATGGGTTTTTCTGCTAAATAAAGCACTTGATAAACCTACAAGTGCATTTTCAATTTTTTTCTTCCACTCCCAGTGTTTTGTCCTATAAAGGGTTAACCTAACATGCATACATGGATCTGGTATCCTCCATCCACTGATATAGAAAAGACAGAGTTAAACAGTGACAATCACTGATTCAAATTCAATTTGAATCTCACCTGGGAGAGTTTAGATTCTTGTGTCATGCAAATTAAACTGGAATCAATGTGATGCATATACAAGAAAACATGCATTCAGTAAATGATTGCTGATGACCTCTAAGAGGTCTAGGGTTAAGGCTAATATTGCTAAACACAAAAGCATTCTCCTAAATAAAAAATTCACAATGCATTATACTCAATGAAGTAACTTTGATCACCGAAGTAAATGATCCCCATCAAAAGCATTGGAGTTACTATGCTGCTATCATACTTCGGTAAAGACTTCTGGAAAGAACTACTGGCGATGCTATTACCAACCATGTTCTTGATCTTATCTGACACCATTCACAGGCAACAACAGATTTTATGGAAAATGCCATGAAATCTCATCTGAATTGTGATATGTGATTCTGGGGGATTCACAAGACATTTCAAAAGTCTGGGTTTGAATATAATTCATATTTCCTAGTAAGAAATGGTAATTCAGAAATAAGACTTAGCCCCAAATGCACAATCTCAATTTGGGGAGATTAAGGGGGGTCTTTAAGCTAAAGAATTAATTTTTCCTCCATAGGAGTCCATGCATTCTTACAGGACCATTAACCCTTTAACTGTTGAGTTTTAATGTGAATTCTGAACTTCTTTTGCTGGGTTTTTATTTTCCTTTCAATTTCAAATATTTTTGCCCAGATTAGAGAAACATTTTCAATTAAATGTTTATAAAATCATTATATTTTGATTCTAACTGATGAAACTGAGACCATTTCCCAGAAATAAATGGTGTGCATGAGAACATAGCATAATGGCATTCACCCAAGTATGCTTGGACATGACAGTCAAAGGGTTGACTAAAGGAGTTTTCAGCAAAATGGGCCTTGGAAATCAAGATTTCACATGACTAAAAATTTTTGGTTCTAGCATCAAATTTAACCTTTTGACTGCTACTGATGCCATATGGTGTCAGTCCCGATGGCCCAGCAGGGGATTTAAATTTTAAATACCATTTTAAAGGTCAGGTATTTAACAACTTAAATGGACATCATATATGTATGTATCACTCATTATNTCAGTCCCGATGGCCCAGCAGGGGATTTAAATTTTAAATACCATTTTAAAGGTCAGGTATTTAACAACTTAAATGGACATCATATATGTATGTATCACTCATTATGGCTCCACATTTAAGTAAATATCAAGAACAACTGAAATTTGCATTTTTTGGGGGAAAACCCAGCACTACAGGGCATTACAGGCCCATAAAAACCCAGCAGTCAAAAGGTTAAACAGCACTCCAAGTGCAATAACCAGAGAGAATAGATGGAAATAAAACAAAGAAAGCACCTAAGTAGGTCATAAGGGATAGATTTCCCTTCCTGAAGAGAAGCAATGCCAGAGACAGATGAAGGAGTCAACCTTGCTATGGCTCTGCTATCATCAAGGAATCGATGATCCACCTCTTTTCCTTCTCCCTATAAATAAGGATAAATAGTGCACTTGAAGATCCTTAATCACTGAATCAGGTACAGGTGGAAATGAATGATGGTTCCAGTGGTCACCATGATAACGAAGGCATGATCACCACCAGTGGCAACATCTAGAATGGGTCCCTCATAGGCTAACACAGGAAGGGTTGAACTCTGGGTACGACCAGAGCCCAGTTGACCTGATCCTCCCAAGCCAAAAGCAAATAGACGTCGAAATGCTGGCACATATGCAAGAGTGTGGTACCTGTACCCATAAAGGGGAAGTCATCAAAACAAAGCCAATTATTTGTTTGTCTCATTCAAGAGAAATTGAGGCAAGTAAACTTCTGCTACCTAAGGCCTCCAAGTGAAGACCAGAAAATGGAGAACCATAGAGATTCGGGTTTCCCATCACAATCAAAGGAAAAGCAGACATAGAACTAGCCTAAATTGGAATTTTCACAAAAGTACACTTCTGAAGAGGCAGCAAAGGGACCACTGAAATGTCAAATGTTGTACGGATAAAAGAGAGCATGAAATTCATTTCAACTGGATGGGTATGTTTAGGGATGGGGCAGTCAATTGACTGGGTCAATTCACCATTATTGACCACTAATTCTTTTAATTCAGTGAATTAATATATTTTTATAGAGCTTATAACTGTGGTCATTTATCCCCCAGCACTAAGACCAAAGAGCCAGTTCAATTTTTAAGATTTGTTCATGCAGCCTGCCAAACACCTAGACTGTGGCACCTGTTGCGTATGAAAACATTTTAGCAATTGCTCAAACTACCATGACCTTTCACCTGAGTGATGCAGTGTGTGTGCAGGCATATCTTGCTGTTCAAAGTTTTATAGCCTCAAGGACTTTCAAAGTTAAGGTTCAAGATCTAAGTAACAGCTTCAGAACTTTAGTTTTGTGCAAGGTCAATCATGGTCCTAGCTCATCAGAGCATCAAATTATTCTCAGAGTCTGTGATCAAGTACTTGGGTTATGCCTATGCCTAAAAAAAATTAATCTAGCTATGAAACATGATTCATTACTGTTTACCCTATAGATTGTATGAGTTGGAACATTAAATTTATCTTAGCAATGTTAGCAATGTCAATTCTTAGCAATGTCAATTGACCAGTCAATTGACATGTTTTTAATTGACTGGTCAATAACCCATCCCTAATTCTAACACAGTTAGGTATAGACCATTATCATTTTTGTGCCAGAATTACCAATTACACTTGAGGAAAACATGTATTTTATTGACAAAAAACACCTTTTTCCTCACATCATTGGAAAGCCCTTGAAAAGTCCTTCCAGGTAGTTTAAAGATCACCTCTTTATTCTGTTTCTCACTTGAAAAGCAAGTCAAATGTCAAAATGACTGTATTTGAAAGTGAAAAAAATGTAGAACTGTACCACCTCAAAATCATGTTGCATTTTTTTAAATAGGTGCATGAATTCATTTGAACTCAAATTTGATGTAGGTGTCATGATTCCCAAAGGGGAGTTGTGGTGTTTAGAAGTTAACCTTTTCATGATTTCCTTATTTAGGTTAAGGTCAAATATACAGTACTGCCAGAAAGTTTGAGGCGGGTTACAAGAATGATTCTTTTTATAAAAAAAAGATAAAGAAAATTTAATGCTCTTTTTTCAGACGAAATGTAAATGATTCATCATGGTTTTTATTAGGCGAAATTGTTTTTTTGTTTGTTATTTTTAAAGTTTTTTTTAACACTTGCAAAATTCTCCACCTGCCTCAAACTTTCTGGCGGTACTGTAAATGAATTTAATCAGTTAGCATGCTTTGATTATTCTATTTGAGCTCTCAACTAATTCTGTTGGACATGAAGCAAGAAAGTTAGCAACTAGGGGCCATTTTTTTAACTCAGGGCATTTCATATGTCTTGGACCCTGTTTGGTGTAGATGTCTGCAATTCATTGAGATATAGTATTTTGACAATCCTATTCTCATCACAGAACATCTACATGCTGACTTATGTTGTATTCTGAAATGGTCATGCATTAATCCTCTCAAAGCTTCAGAACATTTGAGTTAGAATGACTGTAACTAAGAGTAAGCAGGGGGCAATTGTGTTTTGTGGAAGCATTCTTGGAAATTTTCTTGCTGGTGACAATTCTTTTCAGGCACTTTTCCTGCTCCCGTTTTACTTATCCCTTTTCTATAGATAAGGATATTCCCATGCTTTCATTGAATCCTATAGAAACACCATCTTGCCCAAAGTCAAAGTCCATCCACCCATCCATTGATGCTTGCCATGATGTAACATCACTATGGACCTCACTAACCCAGTATATACAACAGGTATTTACAGCCTGTCCCTGATCTGGAAAATCAATCAATTAATATCATAATGGCAGGACAGTTGGAGCTACTACTTTGTAACAAGGCAAGGTACTTCTGTGTGGCTTGATGCTAAAGTCTGGCAAAGCTGCTGATATTTTTTTTATTTAACTTGCTCGATGGTGCTCTGTAATATCATGATGGAAGTCTTAAATGGTCATGCTGATCACCTTCCCCCAGGCTTCAGCTGTCATGCTACAGGGGCCACATCACCATATTGACAAGTTTGGCAATTGCTATGTACTGTATGTCTATGGGTGGACCTTGACTTTTACGAAATAGTGTACTCATGTTCACAGGTTGAAGAATTGTGGCCTTCCATGTTATCTGTTTTCTCATTTGGAAAGAGTATGGAAAAGACATTTTAGAGGAATTCCCCCTCAATAAAACAATATACTGTTTTTCCTGGTCGTCCCTCATATAGAGATGTATATTGAAAGGGATGGTAAACTTTATTGTATACCTCATGCAACAAGTAAAAAATGAGAAACTCTTTACACAACATTCATTGCCTCTGCACTCTTCCATTGAAGAAAAGAAGTTGGAAGCATTTTATCTTGGTTTGAAGTCAGTTGAGAAATCATGATCTTGAACCGAAGACCAGAGATACTTCTCTACTCACACATTATATATTCAAGTAAAGAACAGAAGTAGGAATGGGGGAAATAGAGCAGAGTAAAATATTGCAAGATGTGTTCAATGTTTCCTTGTATGGCTCTGAAATGAGCTCTTTGAATATTCTCTAATTTGAAATGGGGGATGATGTTAGCACTGGGAGTGGGAAATTGTAAGTTACAGGTCTCTTTGGTTCATGTTGCTTCTGATTTAGGAATAACTCTCAAAGCACTCCAAAATCAGTTTGTATGAGATTGGGCTTGGATTCCTTCAACTTGTTCTGGGCAGCAGCCAGATCGAGTTCCATGAGGGTGTCAATGCTGTTGGCACTGCAGCCCTGAAGAAGCTTTTGACCCACCACTGACTTGAAACTCACTGTCAGGTCACTCAGGCTCAAATAAGGATGATCTGGTTTCTCCTTTTCCTTTTCACTCTTCACTGGGTTCATGGATGACACCTTTGGTTTACTCTCCTTGTCCTTCATGCAGGGACTCTTGGTTGGAAAGACATTCATCATCTCTGTGGTGTTGGAGTAGGTGGTGGTAGTGGTCTCAGTCACTTCCTTGGTCTCTTCCACCAGCACAGGTATCTTCCTCACCTGGTTCATGTGATTGTGATTGTTACTGAATCCACTGATCTTGATGTTGAACTCAAAAGATTTTGGGAGTTCACTTGTGCTAGTACTGGTTGTAGTGGTGGTACTGCTGGTCTTCTCTTCCTTCCTTGTCTCATAGACCTTGTACCCAGGCGGCCCTGGAGGCTTCTTGATCTCGTCTGGGACCGTTCCTTTTGGGTGTTTCTCTTTCTCTTTCTCCTTTTCCTTCTCTTTCTGATCTCCCACTTGGCTCTTCTTTCCCTGCCAGAGTTTACGAAGCTTGAAATCATCAGTCATGACATTTGGAGAAGCAGTGGAATTTTCGGAGCCAGTGCTGGGAGACTTGGCTCTCATTTCGTGGCTTGTCTCTCTTTGATTCTTTGAAATGAGGTTCTTCTCTTTTTCCTCTTCTTGCACCGCCACTGGGTTGATGAATACCTCGGCCCCCTTCTCAGTTCCGTGAGCTTGGGCTTTCTTTTGCTTCCCTCCTACCGGAGTCTGCACTCTCGGCAGACTTGATGGAGGGGCTGCACTGTTGTTACGAATGTGATTGTCACCTCCTGAAGGTGCAGAAGTGACAAATCTCTGATGTCTCTGTGGCACCCAGATAGGTGGCCTTGGGAGTCCATATGCAGGTGGATGTAGCCTTGTCTGCTGTGGAGCACCTCGGCCAATAGGAGACATGTGACGGCCTGAAGGGCGTGAGAGACAATTTGGCACTCTATATGGCAGGGACCTTGATCGGAGTAAAGCTGGAGAGGGCTCGTTTGCCCTGGGCTTTCGACCAACCCAACTCTGGTTCCGTGACACTCTTTCTCCGTGGCCCTGTCCTTGAATATCATTCTGCCCTTGAACCTGCCAATCGAGAGATGAAAACCTCTTATCCTGTTCATGAGGATGACGAAGAGAAGATGAAATAAATGCAACGCAAATAAGTTGCAAACCTTGAGTGGGATGTTGGGTGAGGACTGGGCAAGTCGGGTAAAGGAAGTCTGCGTGGCGATAGAATGAGTGATTAGAAGCCGTGGATCGTCCCATTCTGGTGGAGGAAATTGACCCCCGAAAGTGAGGATCTGAGGTTTCTCCCGGTCCCTCAACAGGCGATGCCACAACCCTGGCCTCTTTACTCGTTCTGCACATCATTACATCATAATCCATCGTCATCAATAGAACCTTAGCAGGCAGAAATGACTAAATGAAAGGGAGCAGACCAGAAGAGATGTCGAGCTTGAGGTGACTCAGGTCATTTGAGGAGTGATAGGAGTCAGGTGGATGCGGATGTAGAAGTAGATCCCTTTCCCGATCCCGATCCCGGCTCAGGCTTCGTCCCCTTCTCATTGACATGGACCACGAACCAGTCCCTCTTCCCCTGGCCCTGGGTCTGAGGTTGGGGTTCATCGTTGCTGTTGTCGTCAGCGCATGCTGAGAATTATGTCGAAGCGAAAGACGACGCTGGATCCGAGTCAATGCTCCAGTCCATCTTTCCGAACCCCCTAATCCATCCTCTTCACACCAATTTGGATGAGGGGGTCTTGCTATCCGAATCACGTCCCCTTCCTCCTCTGTTCAATCCAAATTAAGATCAGTGGCTCTGACACTCGATTTGGCGTTATTTCTGATAAAAGCAACACTCTCCTACCTCCTTTGAGGATGTTGGCGAAGGAAACCTGGACCGGGGAGTCCGTGAGTGATGGTTTTCGAGGGATCTTGGTGTGATTAAGGATCTCAAGGGCTTCTTCGTTGGTGAGGAGTAGAGGTCGTTCTGTCGGTGGAGGGATCCTGATCACCCGATTATAGGTGCTCGGGTTCACGATTCCGTACCCCCCTTGGGTATGGTACACCTATTCAATGGAAATCGTTATGAAAGGCGTTCTGACGAACAGAAAGATCTGGATAGGAAAGCTGGGAAAGTGTTTTCCTACCTTTCTTTCTCGGATAAGCTTGCCAAGTGTGGCGTAAATGAGGTCTCTGGAGGGTCGGACGGTATCTGGGAAGATGTCGACGAGGGCCCGGTGGATATCCTCCAAGGTGCAAGTGGAAGAGGATGAGGGGAAGGTGGAGGTGGAGGTGAGATCGTGAATGACCCAACATAGGGCATCCGGGAGAGGGGTGAACTGCCCCTGGGGGACGGAGGTCATGGGACAGTGATCCACGTCTCCCATGCCCATGATGACGTACCCCCGGGGTGGACGAAGTACACGGCGACAATAGGCATCCCTGAGAACATCCAGGCTTCGGGGTGTCCCCGACACCAGGAGGACACCCGGATTCGCCCATCCCGCATAGTCCAGGGATTTAAGGGCTTCTAACAGGGCCGGATTCCACCAACAGTCCCTATTCGCCTCCTGGAGGCTCTGAGCAAAGGAAAAGACGAGTGAGGGCTACGTTTCGGTTTTGTTTTGTTTTGTTTTGTTTTTTTTTTTTTTTTTTTTTTTTTTTTACATGGAACGACCGGCAATTCACGATATGGCAGCCTACCTGGTAGACGAGGTATCCGTTCTCGTACATCCACCAGCCTGTCTCGGGGTCGAAGTTCAAGGGCTGGATGGCATCCTCGTCTTGATCGTCTTGTTCCCCGGCCCTCCTTTCGTCCAGAGGAGTGGGGTCTTCATCGACCATTTTAATAGACGGGATGTTGTTGAGTCCATTGAGGTTGAGGATGAGAGCTTGCCAGGTCCCTTCCAACGGCGCGATCTTCTGCACTTGGATCGCCAGGCATCTCCTCAAGAGATCCAGGACCTGCGTCCTAGGACCCCTGCAAGACGAAGCGTCAACCTCTCAGTTTGTAGAGTAGTTATACAGAAAATGGAATGAGGAGAGAATGAAAAAAAAAAAAAACAAAAGAAAAAAAAACCTTGGAGATCGGGTGACGCCAGCCGTGGACACTTGAGGATCTGCCCAGTTGGGACTAGGAGTTGATCGGGTCTCTTTCTTTCCTCCCGCCTCAAGGGTCATTCCCTGTCCCCTGTCAAAACAACAAATCCTTTTATTTCTCATATTGAATCATATAATTGATCTTTACAAGACGGTTATGCATCTCATCTCGGCTGCAATGACGATTGAATCGCGATTCAAAGTGTTCTGGAGATCATACGAATGGTCGCCTACTCATCAGAGTTGCTGAAGTGCTGTCTGTTCTTTTTCTTAATATACTTCTGCCTGATTCTGATACAAAAAAAAATTGATGAATTTAGCACTTAAATTCATAAGCATAAGATATGTTACCGTATACCGTAATCGTAGTCGAAAGTGTCACCTTCCCATACGTACAACTTCTAAAACTGCGACTCACGTCCACGAATTCTCGCGTGAACCCCAAAATCCATACACTTCCTTCATGTCCCAAGGTCTCTGGTACCAATGTTTCGTTCGTGGTGTACCAGTACCTTCGGAGCGTCAATGTGAAAGTGCAGGGTTGGAGACCTTGTTCAGATTTCAAAAGCTCGTTTTGAAAATGGCTGTCCTCTCTGAAGATTGTTTCATGTTTACACGACCAATCAACCGGAACGCTATTGGTTCAACAAATATACGTTTAATTCAGCCATTCGGATGCTAATGGCAGAGCTAAAAGATGTAAATCACATCTTGATAGCTCCCCCATCCACTTTGCCCCGTGGCATATACCCATGTCGATATGACGCTATACAAGCTGGTCTGTACTTCTCCTATTCCCTTTCGGGATCCTCCATCTGGAACGAGGGCGGTTCGGCGTAAAGCCCATTCACTGGGTCACCATGCCACTCGTACTCCTACGCGCCACGATCATGCGATCACGGTTCGAGTCCCAGTGCAAACTATCTTCCGTAGGGATGCGATGGACACGCGACCTCGTTTCACGCAACACCACGATCGTACTTCACCGTATGGGTAAAAAAAAAATCCCCTCGGAACCGGAAGAAATTACCGGAAATGAGAGCGGAAACGGACGGAGCTGTATATGTGGAAAGTGTCGACAACTGTACATGTATGATCCTCCCTCGCGTCCGGGATGGGTTGGCAAGGACGATCCGCGCCGACCTCGAACTCTGACATCCATCTCGATAAAAATGGGGCTATTATGTTCAAGGGCGTTTCTGCCTTCTACGAGGAAAACAAGGAAAGGAAGAAAAAGGGGGGAAAGAAGAGAGAAAAAAAAGGGTCATGCGTGACCCGGAATCTTAGTGTCCAATGAAGACTAGGAGACCCCCCTCTTCCTTTCCTTTATTGTTTGACATGGTTTGGGTAGTTCTTCCACCTGTTCCTCTCTCCCTCGCTCCTTCCACTCAGAAGATTTCCGTCGCGGATGGAGAGAAAGATTTCGAGTGGAAACTCGCATAATAAGGGCTGAATGACTCTCTCCGCGGCTTTCCTGTCTCAAGAGAATGATGGACCCGAACGGGAATGTCTGCGTGAAGCAATCCGGACGGCCGGGATTCCGCCGCGTATGTTCTTATTTTCCCTCCGCTTTTTTATTATTATAAAACAAATCATGCTATCCACTTTTGGAAATACATGCCATGATTTTCACCCTCAGTGGTACAACTCGAATGCTGGTATCTCCTTTAAGAAACCAATAATAATTATTTTTGATCCTCCCCTTGTGTGGCTTTCTCTCCGGAGTGGTCGGACTTATAATGAAATCCCAATTAAGAAAAGAACGAAATGCAGTATCTAGAGACGAAAAGAAAAAGTTGGAAACCGCAGATACGAGACTCAGCAGATACTGTACGTTTCTCCACGACGATATGAGTGAAAGTGTTGCTGCCGATGAGCCGAAAGTGAAAAGGGGAAAAGAAATCCATACGAGCACTGAGTACTTCCACTTCCTCGTTCCAGCTAATCACGGCGATTTCTCTTAATTACCCTTTCGCGGCCTCGCAGGAACTCACTAATTCGTCGTTGATTAATGAACAGAATGTTAGCATGTCGATGGTATGAGGAGTACCTACTCAGGTTCAGAGATCAGCAGTGATTACTTTCCTCTGGATGCCTCAACGCCCCCGAGCTGGGAAAAAAAAGTCGTGAAGCCGAAAGGATTTCCTCAAAGGGGCTCCTCAGAGGGGCTCCTCAAGGGGACTCCTCGATCCCGTCCGCAATCACGATAACCTTTTCCTCTCACGATCCATATCACTGCCTTTTTTATGTTTCTGCTGACCATACAAAGAACTTGGAGATGGAAGTTGACCGATGACGTTTATATTTCTAAATATCAAATGGTTAAGAATGAAAGATGGGGATGAAATTACATCCGAGGTCAGAGGTCCAGCGGTCCTCGACCACTTATTGACTCACGCCGTCCAAACGAAGACATCTCAAATGTCTTCGTTTCGGGAAAGAATCCTCGGTTTTCCGAGGATTCTTTCCCGTCTGGGGAACTGGGGTCCTGCGTCTGTCCCCCTCATTCGCATGGGCCCCACGCGAATAGATCGACGATTTCGTAATCGGAATCGATTGTGAGCGACGTTCCAAGGCCGTTTCTCGTCCCCGTCACGTGGAAGCGGAAAGGACCATGCACGGCATTCGATCTGGGACACGGCTGTCCCTTTAACGAAAAAGAGGGGACGTTTAAAAGGCATCCGAAGACTATGGTCGTGTGAGACTGGAAGGAGAAGAGAGGCCCCTTTGGCCTACATGGCAATTAATTGAATCGAGACAGAGAGATCCAGGGCACCGATGGAATCAGCCTCATCCTATTTCTAGGACATCTTTTCTCCTCTTTTTTTCAATCTTGGAAGAATCTTTTCTTCTCTCGTTTTTTTCTTTCTCTCTTTCTTAGAAAGCAGAAGAAAAGTCGGGACCGAGCGTCGCAATTTCCCAATTCCTCTTCTTTTCGGACGGGGATCGTGCTTTTTCGCTTTCCGCCTCGGAGTCATGCAGTGGGTAAGTGGATTATCGACCCGATTGAGGTCTACATGGAAATGTCCGTGAAATAGGTGCGGTTGAAATGAATGAAAGAAATGAATGACCCCGACCAGGGCCTCCGGGGGTCCCGCTTTCCGAGGCGTTCTCATTTCATTCTACACTTATGAAACGGCGGAAAAAAAAAAACATGGGAAGGATGAGGAAGGAAGGCGTGGGAGGCAGTGGAAACAAGAAGCATTTCAGCAGACAAACAACTCGACATGATTTTATTCTGGCTTTCCTTTTGAAACGCATAAGGCGCACACGTCGTGCATGTCTTCTCTGCATTGCACGGGAAGAAAAGGGATAAACCTGAAACCCCGTAAGCCTTCGTGCGACCCTCACGGACCCGTTATTTATTTATTTATTAGCGAAGAACTAGCCCCCTCTATAGAGGTAAATCTGAATCCAGAATGCACGAACATGAGGGGGAGAACCCGTTACATTAGATTCAACGTGCTTTCACGAAGTCTTCGACTCGATCGTGCTTTCCTTCGGGATCGGATCGCTCTAACAGAGAATCTTCTCCCGAATGATTTTTTTTTTTTAATATGACGTACAAAGTTTGACCCAGTGAAGAGAAATGCGAAAAAGCGTAGACGATGGACACGCAACTCTCTCGTTAGATGTGATTATGAGCTACAAGGAAGCTTTTTTTCCTTCCCTTCAAGTCCTTTTTTTCCCATCCATTCAAAAGGGATTCCCACGAAAGGATGGACTTGCAGTCGGAATACGTCCGCATCTCAGGGGGAATCAGCCCCCAATTAAGACGGTTACCCATTAATTACCACATCCAATTACGTGTGCAGATTATCGAGAATATCATCACCTTTTGACATGGATATTGCACACCGTAAATATTTCAAACACGATCGGAATTTTCTATCCTCGCACACTTTGGACATGAGAGAATCTCGTCCGACTTTCTCGTTGGGGAAGCGTCATCGACCCTTAAACATTAACACAGGACAACTTCAAAATTTCGGTCTTCTTATCTTGATCCGGTGCCCCCGGGAACATGATTCATTAGTGTGTAAACGGACATCGGAGTGGGAGAAACCGGTCTGGAATGCCGCCCATGGACGGAATCGATCGTTTTTGCCGATCTGTAGGAGGTTCGTTTCCCTTATGCAGGTCGATGAATAGATTTTTCAGAGGCGATGGTGGCTTCCGCATAATTCCCTCGAAAGGATGCATGGAATCAGGCCATAAAACTCTTATCTCCTGTCATACATAATCATATCAGACGCGGAGAAAAAGTAAATGAGAGAAAAAGAGGCATGCCTTTCACCCAGGCGTTGAGGTCTCCCGTACTCGGACTCCATTCAGTCCCCGAGCCCGAACATGTCATCGATTCTTTCCATCACTCCTCCCCCCTCCCCCCCTTCATGCGCATCTGCCCAAACTGCATGCACATGTCCGCTTCTGATTTCGGACTTTCACCGACACGAGGGAAGAGTGACAGGCCTTATTGCACGAAAGATCGAAGAACCTCAGGTGCACGGTGGATTGATGGATGGTCCGAGGCGCCCCATTAACTCCTTCAATCCATGTCACTCACCCTCCCAACCACCATTATGTTATTATAGGGGGAGAAAAAAGACCGAAGCCTTTCGTACCGCATCAGCTTGCGGTAGGCCTCAGCCCCAAAGGCCAAGCCTGAAGACTCATTCACTCTTCGTCGTGGATACGACTTCATGCACAACCTCTGCGTAATAGAGGCCAAACTGAAGTGAAAGGCAAAGCCATAAGCTCTCCGAGAAATAGAAATAGGATGATACCGCGTCTTTGTATGCATTATAATCTTATACGATTTAATAGTCAATTCATGTCCTTACGGGTAAAGGAAAGAAACAGGGAAAGCAAAAATGAGGGCATGTTTGGGTATGATGGTATTCGAGGACTGCCATGCTGTATCCGATCGAGCCGAGCCAATTTATAGGTTCCAGAGATGGATGATTCGGATAGAGGTTTCTGTTTTTTTTTTTTGGCTTTTAATTCGTGTGTTCATAAAAAGCAGTAGGAGCTTGCCCACAAAGCCACTTAACCTACTTGAAACAAGAGGGAAAGCTCATCTGCCCTTCAGCCTATTTCTATAGCTGCCGAGGTATTTTTCTCGTCGATTTTTTCTTCCTTTCCTGGAAGAAGAATCACGACTCCTTTCACCGTCGATTTCCTCTTTTTTTTTATATTGATTGATTTGGTTAGACCCACATAGAAAGTAGGTTTCCTGACAGGGGACACACGTAACCGAGGTAATTATGGGGTTTCCGGTATATTATGCTGCTTATGCAGGATTGCCGAGAGAGATCGGAACAAAGGAGAGGGAAAAAATAAAAAAAAGTGGGACTGGTGACAGGTGCGAGGGTAATAAGAGAAAACCT